TAATTTAATAATTGTATTAGACTTGTCGAACGTTGTAGAAACACGTGGTGCGAGAAATAGCTTTTCCACCGTGTCTGTGAATCGGTGCGCATTATTACGTCACGGAAGAATCGGAGGAATCGTTACACAGGGAGGGAGGCGCGTCGAGTTAATCCCATTCGAGATTCGTGGAAGCTGATTCGGGTTTAAAGACGCTTTAATAAGGAGGCAACGATACCCGGGCTACTCGGACCAAACTTTCCACTCGGATACACGGTGGAAAGGAAACGGAAGTGGAATGTTCCAATTTAGTAAATTGCGAGAGAGAGAGAGAAGCCACCTTTTGCTTAGCTTCCGTGTCCTAGCTTCCTTAACGCGACTCTTCCGACTCGGTTCTTCCGGCTCGAAACTTTTTTTTTCCCCACGTCCCTCCCCTCCTCGCGAGGAAATGAGAGTCTGAGAGAAAAGACGAATGTTAATTAATTGAATTCTCTTGGAACCGCCGAAGATTTCATTTTAAAAATTGTTCCAACAAATGGATTTTAGAGGAGGGGAGGGGGAGGATTATTATTCAAGTTAAAATCTGTGGAGAGAGAGGAAGAGAGACGAGGACAAATTGGTTCGCGAGGCGATGGGACTTTTTAACATGTTTTAGAAGAAGAAAATTTGCACATCATTTGCATATCACTGCGCGTGTCGTAAAAGAAACTCGAGATTACCGGTTGGAGCTTTATGCATGTTCGAGTTTTTCCTCTTTTTTTTCTTCTTCTTTTCTTTTTTTTCTTACAAACCTCTCGACAAGGTTCTTTAAAGCGTGACGTTATTTTTAAAATTTCATTTAGGAAAGCGTGTTTTCGGTTCATAAACGATCCATTTACGATTACGAAAGGGGAACAAAAATACGGTTTTTAATAATTTACGTGGACGTGTCACGCGAAAAGTGTGTGTAACGTCTTGACGAGATTTTTTTCAGATTACGCGATTTCTCGCCTTTTTTTTCTTTTTTCTTATATGTCCCGTGACGAACATTCGTCGAAATGTTTACGAGAATTCAAATTTAGCGGGTTTTCATGGACGCGGGAGAATTGCACCGCGTCGAGAAAAAGCTTTGAAAACAAGTCCAAGGCCTTTTATTTGTTTTGAACGTTTCGAACATGGCGACATAATTCTCGTGCGTGTTTATGCGTGTTTAAATGAGCGTCGAAAAAATGGCTTGGAACCGGGAATTCGAAAATTTTATTAAAATCGAGAACGAAAGAAGGCACGTCGAATTCTAAATAATCTTCTTCTGTCGTTTATACCGAAATATTTCCATTCTTTTCTTTATCGTAATAAATACTACGACTATACTATATATACGTAATGGGAGGAAGAAAGAAGAAACATCGTGGAATGATAACGGTGGAAATATCGGTGAAATAACCGTTTAAAAAAGAATGACTCTACCGCGATAAATGGTATCGATATCAATGAAACACATTTCGATAGCAATAGCAAGAAATCTTGTACAAAACATCGAACTATTTTTGTATTAAATTTATATTTATACCTTTTACATAAAATTCGAAATTTCTATCTTGTGAAAATGAAATATAAAAGTAAAATAATCATTCTTCTCTTTTTCTTTTTTTTTTTTGAAAATTTATTTCAATCATCGACAAACAGACAGAGAGAGAGAAAGAGAAGTGAACGAAAAAAAATAAAGAAGTATGTTCGATGTATTCAGAAGCTTTTCGAGCTATCGCTAAAATTGTTTAATTAAACGAGCTTTTTATCTTAATTCAAAATTTCCCGTATTAATGCAGCATTTTACGACTTTTGCCGGGATAAGTCCAAGCAACCTTGAACAACTAATCTCGTTATAGGTATCATGACAATAGCATTAGTAATTCGGCACGAATCACCTTGCCTGGCTCTCGCTCGTGAAATCGTCACGTGGTATCAATTCACGTTTGCGAACACATGACACATGGACTATTATATTAATCCGGAAATTAACCGTGATTTTCGATCGTATCTAACGTATTACCGTTATATAACTTTTTCCTTTAAAAATGTTCCTCTATATTATGTTTGAATGGAAATTTTCCTTTAACCATAGACGTTTTTCGAATTATAAAAATGACGAATTAGAAAAATGTTTCAACCACGTATATATAAACGTCACTTATGACTATACATAGTTCATGAATTTATTATTAAAAAAAAAACAATTTCTCACAAGAGAAAAATTACTCGATATTTACAACAGCTACTTAATCAGAATACTACACTCGTTGCAAAACGATTATAGATATTCGAACGCGTATAATAAAATATAAGATACAACGTTTTTACAACGATACATTAAAAAAAAAAAAAAAAGAAGAAAAAAAACACGATAGATTAAAATTCACAATTTATTTCCGGGTCAATGTACCTTATAAATAATTCAACTTCTACCAAAAATTTGTAAAATTATGGTAATCGACGTTTATTTATCGACTCGATAATTATTCGTCCATAAAACGAACGAATTTCATTATTGAAAATATACTCGACAAAATTGATTAACATTCCCACGCGAAACGAATCCGTGTCTTATCGTGTCGATCGATCCTCGTCGCGGTAAAATTCGCAGGTTGTCGATAATTTACGATAATTTAGAAACGCGTACAAGTGGAAGGATGAAATCGACGAGCCTCGTAAACGAGTCTTTCGACGAGTCTTCGGGATGATTCGCGGTCGAATACGATTTTTCAATAACAGAACGATTTTTCTTTATCTGAACTTAGCTATTATCAGAAATCGCGATCGAAAATTATGGAATTCCCCTCGATTGTCGTCCGATCTTCAGATTTCTCGCGTAAATTTCCCGTCAACTTGCCAGCAATAAAAGCCGGATACACTTCCGTGAGAAACATTGCTGGTGGCATGGTGCGATTCTCCGCATTAGCATCGCAAATTTAACGCGCAACTGGTCAAACGAGTTTTACGCCACGATAAAAAAAAAGAAACAAACAACGGTTACTCTCTTGAATAACTATGTGTATAAATTGGGGGAAGGGGGAGGAGGGGGAATCGTTGGAAACACGATGTAGAACGAAACGAATCGTTTGGAGGAGAAGGAGGATTTGAGATTGATAATTGATACGAAGGATATTTATTATATATATCGTTGAAGCGTGAAATTTTATCGAATGCGTGGAGATCGATATGATTCGATGTGAATATAAATAATAAAGGAAATAATTACAGTCGAAACGATGAAAAAGTTGAAATCTCTAGTTGAATAAGCGAAGTAATTGTACGTGGTATATGGAAATAATTTGTTTCTTCTTTTTTCCACATTACGTTCCACTTCTTCCACAAAATCGCCCTCCACGCGTTTCACATTTCTTTCACGACAGTATTTTAATAGTACACGCGTATTTGTTATCGCTATCAACGAGACACGACTCTGATCGACTTTGTCAAAGACAAAGCAAAGTATTTTCAACGATCGTATACCGAAACGTGCGTAATTCCAACGCGAGATAAAAGTCCAAAACGTGCTTACTCAAACGCGATTATTATTGCACGAATTCCAAGAAATTTTAGAGAGAAATGGGCAGGGATGATTAATTTAACGATTAGCTATCGACACGCAATGTCTCGTGAGATTACACGTTTATCACACGCCATGTCGACTATCATTGATGACGCGTGCGCGCGTTTCGAATTTACGATTGCGGAAGCTTCGCGCGAACGTACAAGGTCTCACCGTTTGACCCGGTTGAAAACAATTACGTATCCCGTCCCGTGTTGTTATATCCGAGCAACGCAGATTCTTCCAAATCCAAACATCAGTTTTTCATTCCTTCGTTTCTTCTTCAATTTCACGCGAAACAGAATCGTAATTACGTTCTATTCGAATTCTAAGAAGGAATAGAAGAAGAAGAAGAAGAAGGAAAGAAATATGTTTTCCAATTCGATAAACCGTCACTCGCACGAACGCATAACAACCGACGCACAATTAAATCGAATTATAACGCACAATTATAACGCACAATTAACGCACAAAACGATGAAAAAGAGAGAAAAGAGGAAAGGTACAAATAATAATAATACGCTTAATTTTATTATTTTCTTATTATTCTCACGTACCTGTGATGCAAAGCAACGAACGAAGGGAGGCACAACGCGCGGGAGATCTGGCCACGTGAGTCTTGCCTAATGCGGAGATCAGGTGAAAAGCGGAAGTTATAGGCGTACACGTCGATGCGTCGCGCACGTGGAACCAACACCACGTTGGCCTCTCACCGTAGAGCACGTAGAGAGAGAGAGGAGAAATAGAGATAGAGAGAGAATCAAATATAATGTATACGCGTGTATGTGTGTGTATATATATACATATACATATATATATATATATATATATATACATATATACATACGAACGAGGAACGTGGAGTCGTGCGTCCCACCTCAACCACGTCTGACACGCGAATGAACACCCGCGAAGAGCGTTGTCGCGACGGGAGCCCGGCAGTAAGGGGAGGAAGCTAGTGAACGCGCAACAGACGCGAGAAACGGGGACCCTAGGCACCGGTTGCTATCCCCGCCGCTATACGACCCTCCTGATTCGTCGTTTCCACTCGTGGCGAGGGTCGATTGGTCCACGAATACGGCGACGTGTACGATGTGCTCTCGCCTTTCGTAGTGTGTGTGTGTGTATACATGTGTGTGCGTGCATTCACGCTAATCGAACCATCGGCGAATTTCACGACAGCTGACGCTGCTTCGGATGCCGGCAGACCGATAACGGTACAGAACAAATCTTATTTCGCAATGGCATAACACAAGATTCGTGTTTCGATTTTTGCGTATTCGAGAAATTGCGTGGATTATTAAGAGGGAATTAAAGGGATCCTGTTTTTTCCTTTTTTTTTTTTTCTTTTTACGATGAATATTCGAGATGGATTGATTTGAATCGTTTATAATTTTGAACGTGAGGATGAACATTTTGTTGGGATAGGATTTCGAGATGATAATTTCTCGATAATAAAATGCATGTTTGAATGCACACGTTCAAGAAAGTTCAAGGATCTCGAATTGCGCATTTCAGAAAGAGTTTGCAATGAAAATGATTGATGAATTTTTGAACGGAGGAAAATAATTTTATTTAATTTAATTATCCTCACTAGGAAACCTATCATACACGAATATTGGAACACAGGTAATAACAATCCTATCGATTTTTCTATCTTTTAACATTAAGCTTATCACTTCTCTATCTTCCTCTCGAAGATAAGCCCCTCTCCCCCTTCTACAAACAAGGCAATAGAATATCAAGGCAACAGTTCGAAGCATCAGACCAAGTAAATAATACTTGAAGAAAAATTTCTTCGCGAGTGGAACGATGGATTTGCGAAGAAACGAGAAACCGCAGAGTGTCTTACCAATCGTGTCAACCGGTGGTTTCTAGTAACCTAGATTCTCGTGTTTTCATAACAACCACGGAAATCGTGACGCTGTCGTGGATCCTGCCTCGTGATTTCTACCGTGGCCATTTAAAATCAATGTCCCACTTATTTTACGCGAATAGGAAAATAGGATGCGGAGAAATATAGCGGCCGATGATCGACGCTATAAATAATCCGCAATAAATCGTTTTCGATGGAAAGATATATATATATATATATATTTATATATATAAAACAAAAAAGGTGCAGTTGAAATGTTGCGGTGGAAATAAACCGTGACGTGACCGCAGATCGCAATTAGCTTCGGCCAAGCCATAGAAGGAAGATAGGCAAGTCCAGGTATTATCTTGTTATAGATTAGGAGGAGCTAATGCTTGTTTAACAGAAGGTGTGCCAGACTTAGCGACTAATGGATCGGAAATGCAAGTCACGAGAATCTTTGCAACAGTATAGAAAATCAAAAGCTAATATATAATCCGTATGGTATTAACTCGTATCACTGAACAGAGGTATTAAATCCTCGTTTAAAAGCTATAGAACAAATTGAATTCTAACTACCGCTAATTTCGTTTAATCCGATATTTTACACGATAAAAATACATTGAAAGAAAGAGTATTAAAAATGATTATATACAAAAGAAAAAAAAATACATTTTTAAAAGGCATTTTAAAATTCATAATATTTAACGGACGCTGAAGCTCTTTAATGCCAAAGTATTATGATTTTTTAGTAGGAATACGTAACAAGATATTAAATAGAATTTGAAATAAATTGGAAGAAATAAAGATATTCTTATAAATATTATTTCATTTAATGATTAAATCATAGGCAAATATTGTGTAATATTTATAATTGAAAATATACTTTACGTTAAATATTATTATTTAAAATAATATTTCTTTACGTAACTATAAAATTTATTTGTAAATTATTCTGTAATTTATTTCTATTTTCCTCGTTTTCTACGTAAAGATAACCAGTAAAATACCAGGGAAGATAAAAAAGTAGTAGAGAAAAAAAATATTAATAATTCAACAAATAATTATCTTGCTCCATTACAAATATCTGCTCAAGCAAACGATTGGCTTTATTTACGAGAATTTACTTGTCTCTTGAAATAAAACAGTACGATAACTCGTAACTATCCCGATTATTATACTTGTTCCAATCCATCCCCAAAGAATACCCCAATTTCTCTCTGATCCTTCCATCATCCTTCCCTTCATCCACCCCATTTTCTTACCCGCTCATTTAATCTTCCCTGCATGCTTATCCGCCTGTTTATGGATACAACTTCCTACTATATAATATCTTCCTGTTCATTACACTGGTATTAGATAATAAGTCATAAAGATAACCCAACCCTGAAGGTTATATCGATATCGAAAAACGTGTAGTAACTGAAAAATTCTTTATCAATGGACCGACTCCAATATCGTGGATGGTCGTGGTTATTATCATATCGGTTTCGAATTATTGGAGCGACAATTAAAATAAACAACAAATTCGAAAAAATATATTTTCTTTCTAATGGAAAAGAATAATCAAAAAAATTGAGCAACGTCTTCTTCGATGAAACAGATCGAGTATAAATAAGCAATGATATTGTCAAACAAAGTCAGAAAAAGATATAAAACATTGTGAAATGTTTAACCTAAAAATTTATGAATTTGACACGAGTCCAATACGAGGCAAACGATGAATGATTTTGGATCATATCCTATCTAGAAAATTGAAGAAAATTCGAAATGTTTTCGAAAGACAAATTGTATCAAACATCTTACTCATTTTCAATTCGTCTGTCTAAAAATATTTCTTGTGATAATATTTCTATAGGTATATTTCGAGGCAGCAGCTGGTTATTTATCGCGAAGCGTGGACTACGTGGATGGCAAAGGATTTACATGAGAAATTTCGTTATATCCATCCTATCCTATCCCTTATTTTACGATATTCTCCTTTCTCCTATCCATGTCTCGCAATTCATTTCACGATCGAGCCCCACCAACACGATAACTGTCTTCTTATCACATCGTAATATCCAATATAATTAAATAATTTATTACGTGCAATTTATTCTTCCAATTATTTTAAACGAAATTAAATCCAATAAAGAAAAAAACTGTTTAACATGCTAGAAAAAAAAAAAAAAAAAAGAAGAAAAAATAGAGGTACAAAGTTTCTAAAATAATCTCTTAGACCATTTGAATTATAATCATATCCGCTCGTATAAATAAAACATTTATGTACACGGTGTAGTTGCAACGTGCCGTATATCCAGACGTGATTTGCAATCCACGTGACTGCAAATATCCCGACGTCAACGATGAATAGCGGTCGAGCAATTGAAAGATGCATAGAAAGAAGTCGGTGACCCCGATCGTTTATACGTGACCCGAGACGTTTGTCGTGGCCGCCGTTTTAATGCAATTACACGAGAATTCGAAAACGGTGGGTAATAAGATTTGGAGGGAAGGGAGGGAGGAAGGAGGAAGAAGGAGAAGAAGGAAGTGGAGGAGGACATCAGGGTTTCAACGGAGGAACCAGCCACGTTTCTCTCGAAAACGTGAACTCGAGCGCGAAGATGGGGGTGGGAAATGATAGCGGAAAAGAAAACGGAGAAGGAAAGGGATTCAATTAGATCCTTAATGGAGCTTGTATACGAGACACTTGCAGCCACTTGCGGTCGCTGGACCGAGTTACGACTCACAATGACCTGACCAGGATTCCCGTGAGCTCCCTCGCCCCCCTTCCAACCCAGACGACCGTCCGTCGCCTCTTTCTCTTGCCAAACTTTGGGCATCTCTCCAAGATACCGCAGAAATCGCATACCATGTTAGAAATTCAGGGCGGTTTGAACTTGGCTCGATGCAGCGCTAGCTGAATTCCGCTGCACAAGCACGTGAGATTGGCTAACTCGTGGATAGCTATCCCGGAATTCTTGCAGGCATTTTACCCTGCAATTTTTCGATCCTTCCATTCTTCCCTACTTCCGAGGAGCGTGTCGCGCGAACCGGAAGAATCGTTATCGATTAACCGTGAGAAGAGGAACGCGTCCCGTTGTTTGCACTTGCAAACTCGTTGCTGAATCTTACGATGGCTGTTGTCGATGGTAATTGCGATAAGGGTGTACAAATGTAAATAAGGATAGAAAAGAAAGTTTTCTCTGGAAAGGAGTTCCGAGCACGATTGATTGGACAATTTTAATATCCACGGGCGAAATGTCGATCTTTGATCGAAGATGAAAGTAATTCGATACGTGAACGGATAATCTTTCTTGAATTATATATATATATAAAATACGTGAAAATGAACCGTTTGCATTTACATTATAAATATCGCACTTATGTAATATTAAAAAAAAAAAAAAAGGAAAGAAAAGAAAATTAGACGAATTATTATAATTGGTTCGTTAAAAATGCTGCCTGATAATTTACATTTTAAATTTTTACGAACACAGTCATATATTTATGTAACGAATAAATGTATTTCTAAATAGATTCGTAATACAAAATGAAAACGAAAAGTGATGTAATGTCAATGATGTATAAAGTCGTTGAAATTGTATCGTTAATTTAATATTTAAAGTTCGTATAAAAATTCATTGGCAAAATCAAGATTTGAAGACTCGTAAGATTATCATTTAAGATCGTATCATTGGAAATTAAATTTATTTATTCGTGAGAAAGTGATTATATATTGAAACCAACGTATCTAAATAAAATTGAAAATCAGGATAAGATAATAAATAAAATATGAAAAATAAAATTAATAATAATTTTTATATATCGTTTGAGGAATATTAAGATTAAGAAAATAGAAAAATAATATTTCAATTAATTATGCTAAAATATATATTATTCAAAGAAAAAACTTTATTTCGTACTTACCTGTCATTGATTTTATATTTTTCTTTGCACAAAAGATAGGTAACGAAAGATAACGTAAAATTTGAACGGCACGAAGTAAAATATTCACTTTTCATGCGAAAATACCGTAAGAGAAAGATCTTAGAACGATATCGAGAAATTGTACACTCGATATATGTACGTATATTATAAAGAAAGATTAAGACGCACTGTCAGAAACTGCAGAAAAATAGAGATACAACATTTATTTCACTCACACATATGTAATAAACATGTTTCATCAGATATATGAAATGTAATTCATTCTTAAAAAAAGAATCGTAATCAAATTTCATTTGCTTGTTCATTTTTTGCATTTTTTACATTTTTTGTCGCCTATTTATAATATGGAAACAATTTTTTATTACTGGAAATTATATAATTTAAATATCATTCTTTTATTATCTCTTCGCTAATCTGTTAAATATAATAGGATTGGTATTAATTAAATCGAAAGCCAGAACAGTTTTAGATAAAAGCAAAAATATTTAAAATATAGAGATGGAGATTATTTGATACGTATTTAATTTTGTAATTTATTCCGCTTACTGAATTTAATTGGCGCGACAATTTGCACGAATAGTCACATACAGAGCCATCTGTCGATTACCGTAAGAAATATTTCAAATAACTTTTTAACAGATACTACTCAAAAATCATTACGTAAATATATGTATATGCGAATAATATTCGACAAACGAGAAACCTCGTATCAAGAAAATGCAGAATTAAAAAAATTATCTGTATAAATTAAATTATTGGCATAATAATGAACAAATCTCATATATTGATGTAAATGTTTCGATATAAACTTAAATATATTTTCATATATTACGTTCATATAATTAATTGCATTAAATATTTATTGACTTAACCGATAAAGAAGATTCCTTTAACTGACATATTATAAAGAATTGTACTTTAAGCGGCAAGAATACCTAATTGTTCTTAATTAGACTAAATTGAAGGTTACCGGGGGACAAGTAAATGTGAATCAATCCATGGCATCGTCCTTCTCTCAACCAATCGTGAGGATCGTTTTTACCGACAACTACCAATCATAAGGCAAAGCTTATCGGCGCTACGAGCGCCAATTCAATGTCCTAGATTAAACAGACTGTAATCGTTTTGTTTTTCTTACCCTAATATTCGTTAAAATTAATATAATTAATTTCGTTAAAATTTCAAAAAACATTTATTTCGATCATCGATCAACTTCTTTCTATTAATTCAAATTCTTAAACATTTCATATATCTGATGTTAATTCATGTTCGATCAATTTCATTATAATATTTAAGAAAATAATAGATATTGAAATATTAAAGGAATGAAAGTATGCGAGAAACATGTTATAAAAAGTACTTACCTCGGACGTAGGGACGAAGGCACTAGGTCCATCGAAAGCTGGCACTGGTACTGGAAGTCCTCTATCCTATAATAATAATAAATATTTTAATCGTTTAAAATTTTATTCTTCGATACTTAATATTTCTGAAAATTAAGGATTTTTAACGTTAGCCCGGCTAGCTCAGTCGGTAGAGCATGAGACTCTTAATCTCAGGGTCGTGGGTTCGAGCC